GAGGTCAACGGTGAGAGTGGTGGGGCAAATTGAGAGGAAGTGGTCCCGAACTACGCGAAGAGAATCAGGGAGCCGGTTGACTATGTAGTAGAGGGTGATGTACATGGGGGGGGGGTTCTTGGCGCAGAACTCAGCAGGAAGCGCGGCGCGGTAGCGAGTGTCACTAGTGCGGAGGTGCGTAATGAGGTCAGCGACTGTGGGAAAGGCAGCAAGGTCAGGGAAGAGGTACGGTAGCATGAGACGGCTTAGTGCAGCAGTGGCAGGGGAGGAGTAGCGTGCAATTACAGCGTCGTACAAGGTCTGAGCACTCTTGTACTGGCTAAAGTGCGCACGCTCAGAGGTAGGCAGGTGGCGACGCACAGCAAGACGTGCAGCAGCATCGCGCGTGGCCCACTATGAGTGAACAGTGGCGTCAGCATCAGCAGCAGGGGCAGGAGAGGCACTAGAGGTGAGGTCAAAGAGGGAGAGACCGTCCGCCCTATCGCACTGTAAGAAAAGCTGCAGGTCATCTACCCAGACGTCAAAGTCAATGGCCGGACCGTCAGCGTCAAAAGCGAGGACACTAGGGGTAGCCATGACAGTAGTAGAGTAGCAGCGCGAACGGTGGGGTAAGGGCAGTGCAGTGGCAGAGGCGCTGCTCTTACCGGACAGGGCGGCTTGGGCGGCTCAGCGGCTCGGCAGGAACTGCAGCTCGGCGACTCGGCGGCTCGGGCGGCTCGGGCGGCTCGGCGGCAACTGCGGCTCGGCGTCTCGGCGGCTCGGCGGTACGGCGGCTCGGCGTGCGGTGCTCCGGCGGCTCGAGCGGCTCAGGTGGTGCGGCAGCTCGGGCGGCCCGGGGGGCGCTGGCGGCTCGGTGGTGACGGCGGGGCCGCGTGAAGGCGGGGCCGGGGCTGGGAAGGGCGGGCGACGGGGCCAGCAGCGGCTGGGCCGGGGCCGGGAAGGGCAGCGCCGTGGCCGAGAAGGGCGGCTCGCGGCCGCAGGGGTAGGCGACGGGGCCAGCAGAGGCGGGGCCGTGTCGGGAAGGGCGGCGCCGGGGCCGGAAAAGGGCGGCGCCGGGGTCGCAGGGTAGGCGACGGGGCCAGCAGAGGCTGGGCCGGGTCGGGAAGGGCGGCGTCGAGGCCGGGAAAGGGCGGCGCGGGGGCCGCAGGGTAGGCGACGGGGCCGCAGGGCGGCTGATCGGGGCCGGGAAGGGCGGCGCCGGGGCCGCAGGGGTAGGCGACGAGGCCGCAGGGCGGCTGATTGAGGCCGGGAAGGGCGGCGCCGGGGGCCGCAGGGGTAGGCGACGGGGCCAGCAGAGGCGGGGGCGGGTCAGGAAGGGCGGTGTCAGGGCCGGGAAGGGCAACGGCGGGGCCGCAGGAGTAGGCGACAGGGCCGCTAGGGCAGCGGATCGGGGCCGCGAGGGCGGCGCGACGCAACCGCGAGGGCGGCGCGACGGGATGGGGCCGCGAGTGCGACGAGACGGGGCCGCTAAGGTGGCGCGATAGGGTCGAGAGAGGGGAGCACGACTCGGGCAGGGGCTGAGTGTGCTCCGGGCAGGAAAAAAAATCGAATTGGTGGGCCCTAGGAACAGTTCCCACGAGGGAACCTGCTCGATACCATGAGAAAACTAGAACGAGGAATGAATGACTAAGTGAAAGTTGGGTACAAATGTAAACCCCTAGAAAGTTGTACCCCATATGGGCTACCCCACTATAGCCTACAATAACTATGTCATATAAATCTGACAGTTACCATGGACTTTGTCACAGGGTTACCTTCGAACCCTGGGGGTAACGACGCGGTGATGGTCGTTGTTGACAGGTTGACGAAGATGGCACACTTCGCTGCGTGCAAAAAGTCGATCTCAACCGAGGAGACCGCTCGTCTGTTCATCGCAGCCGTTGTTCGCCTGCACGGGATACCTGCAGCGATTATCAGCGACAGGGACACGAAGTTCACCAGCAACTTCTGGAAGAACCTCTGGGAGCAGTTCGAGACCAGGCTACAGTTCAGTTCGTCGTACCACCCCGAGACCGACGGTCAAACGGAGCGGACAAATCAGACGATGGAGCAGTTGATTCGTGCCACATGCGACGACCCCACGACTTGGGAGCAGCAGCTGCCGCTGATTGAGTTCGCGTACAACAACGCCATGTCAGCGACGACGCAACAGTCCCCCTTCTACCTGAACTACGGGCAAAATCCTACAGTGCCCATGACGCCGAGTCCGGACAACCCAACACCACGCGCACAGCAATTCGCCAAAATTCTGCAAGCTGCCCGCACCAGAGCCGCAGAAGCAATTAAAAAAGCAAACGTCATTGCTAAGCGCAACGCTGACCGCCACCGCCGCCCAGTCACATACCAGTCAGGGGTTTACGTACTGCTCGACACGCAAAATCTGCGACTGCCCGACGTACCAAAACTTCGACCGCGCTACTGTGGCCCATTCCAAATCAGCCACATGATCACGCCAGTAACCGCGCACCTATTATTACCGACCGACTGGTACATCAGCCCTTCGTTCCACGTCAGCTTGCTTCGCCCATACATCCCAACCACAAGCCAACTGCCTCGCCACCGCCCGCCATCCATGACTCGCCCTGCATCAGAGCCGATCATCGAACCCGAAGAAATTCCGAGTCATTGGATTCGCCACCCCACGGGAATCAGGAGGATTGAATTCCTCGTTCGCTGGAAGGACCGCACGCCAACTGAAGATAGCTGGGTGCCCCTGGCCAACATTGAAAACCACCCTGCCCTGCAAGTGTACCTGAGGAGCCGGGGATTCCGCGATATACATGCACTCGCGTAGCGGAGGGGGCTTCTTGAGGGGGGGGGGGTAGTGTGAGGAATTTTCTCGGCATTCCTTACGGAGCCCGACTACATCGCGTACAACAACCGCCGTTGTTCGCCCGTTACTGCTAACGGGACTTCGCCAACTTCGCGCGCACTGTTTTGCCAAACCTCGCACTGCTGGCCCGGCCATGTCGGCCTACGCTTCGGGACTAGCCCGAGCCTCGCTGCCAGCATAGCACTAGCTAGCTCGCACGCACCGCGTTACCGTTTGTATGTTTCGCGTATAAATGTTCGCTCATGCCTTCGCTCACATCTTTGTTCTCGTTTGACACCTTAGTGCAATTCTCGCTACTTCGATTCGTTGCACCCGTAACAGCTAGCTAGCTTGAATCTTCATTATTAGCATCAGCATCAACATTATTATTATATTGAGAAAGCTTGCTTTCTTTCTTATCAATTGGCATCGTTCTCATTACAAATGGGTTTAGGGTTGAGTGAGCCGTTTGAAAATTGAGAAACGTGGGTGGAGGGAAATGAGCTCCAACCCACGGTTTTTGTAGTTGGAGAAGGGCGTTTAGCGCGCTTCGACGATGCCAATTGTGCAGTACAAGCAGCTTCGCTTTCACAATACACAATTTTAAAAAACACTACATGTGTGTTTAAAAATTATAATGTCAAGAGAATGTGACCATAGTTGTGATATGAAGGGAATGTTTCTATAACATTCGCCCCACATTTGCCTTGCTCAAAAACCAAAGATTAGGAACCAATAAAAGGAAATATGCCTCGACACAAATGGGGTTCATTCAAAATGGACATTAGTCATGGTAAACAACGAAATGGAACATCAACATTCTCCATAACATGGCACCTCTTTGCACTCAAGTGGGGTGCTGCCCAAGCCAGCCCAGGGTTGAGTCTGGTCAGAATACATAGTAGTGCCATCATCTCCACTGCTGTGCTCCATACATGGAACTTCGCATGCACTTCCTCCTAGGACCATTAAAGCTCTTCCCAAAACCTCGCTGCTGCTATCCAGAAGCGAGACACCCTTTTATTTGGACACAACTGGCATCCACCATACTGCTTCCACTGCAGCTGCCATCGCCTGCCACCGCTGCCCCTCTCCCAAAGGCGTCCCATTCCCACTGGCCTCATCCTCCTCACCAGCACCATTTCCAGACAGGAAGCCGTCAAACTTGAACAATCCAGGCTCTCTCACATCCAGACTCGGATCCCAGGATCACCGGCTGCTGCTGCCGCTCCTATCCCCCAGCGGCAGCCCATTGGCACCGCCCCCCTCGTCGTCATCATCGGTGCCGAAGTAGCGGTCGCCAAACTCGCCGATGCCCGGCACGACTCGGAAGTGGTCGTTGATGGCTACGTCGATCTCCGATGTCACGATCTTGATGCGCGGGAACGCATGGCACAGCGTGTGAATGCCCTCAGGCGCCTGGAGGGACAGGTGAGGGAAGGAAGTGGATGTGGTGATGGGGAGAGGAGAATGCGAAGGGGGTGGGTACAATCAGAGAAGAGGTAGGAATGATGCCTGGTTAGGCTACAGCGTAGCTGATATGCGGCAATTACTGAAGGGAATGGTGAGAGAGAGATGAGAAACTGATTGGAATTGCAGTGTGAAACAGGACAGGGTACTCAACGTGTACAAGAGAGGGCACTCACGGAGATGAGGTTGAGGAAGATGATGCGGGACTGCGGCACGCCCTTGGCGATGAGCGTCTCAATGGCCTTCATGGCTGAACTGCCTGTGCGCGGCGGTGGTGGAGGGGACAGATGGACCGGCTTGGTAACACACTCACGGAAGCCCAGTCATGCACAGCACGCATTGCCTTGCGCAGCAAAGAATGCATGAGTACACAGAACCAGCACATGAGTGGCTGGTGGAAACGAGAATCTCATGCACTGAGCAACAAACCAGAACACGGGACGGAGTACACAGCACACGGCACCGAGCACAGACATACCGCATGCAAGAATGGGATCGAGGAGCAACACATGGCGCGACGCGATGTCGCTTGGAAGCTTCTCGTAGATCACCTGTGTGACATGGCATAATGGATGGCAGTCAGAAGCAGAACACATGTGCAGCAGTAAGGAACTAAGGCGAGCAGCAGGCAAATGGCATTTTGAGGGTAACCAACTTTTAATGCCCTCCTCAGTCAAACTTCTTCCCATAATCTTTCCTCCTTCCCATCATCGCTCACCTCCTTCCCGTCGTCCCCTTCACGGTGAATGAGAATCTTCCCCAGGCGGATGCCCTTCACACATGCTCGCAGCGCATTCTCCATGCTCTCGCCACTGCAGTTGTCGATGGCACCATGCATGGCAGTACGCATGACAGCATGTATGGCAGTACGCATGACAGCATGTATGGCAGTACGCATGACAGCATGGATGCCAGCAATCATGACATCAGAAAACACAGGACACGGCAAGAGCGGCATGAGCCTTCAAACACAAACACTCCTGCAACATGCATAAAAGGTGCCCAGGTGTTTCTGAATGTAGAATGTGCCTGAATGAGCCTGAATGTGCCTGAATGTGCCTGAATGTGCCTGAATGTGCCTGAATGTACTTGAATGTGCCTGAATGTGCCTGAATGTGCCAGAATGTGCCTGAATGTACATGAATGTGCCTGAACGTGTACCTGCGTATGATGGAAACCCCGCAGAGGTTCTTGCAGAAGTCGACACCAACATAGGTGGAGCCGGTGGGGGTGACGACCTGCTTCTCCACGAAGGGCAGGTGGCCCAGCCCGTGCTCCACCACCAGCCGGATCAGCCGGTCCGCGTAGAACACGAAGTCGTGCTTGCGCGTGTCACGATTGCGAATGAGAGTGTGCATGCCCCGGATCTGAAGGGGTGGGGTGAGGGAGGGGAGGAGGGGGGAGGGAAGGCAAAAGAGGGGTTGGATGTGGATGAGCCGGTCCGCGTAGAACAATGTAGCCCCAGGTTGGAGCCATATCTTTACGGGGCAGCGATTTGCTTAGTCAAAAAGAGGATCTGGATGTGGATGAGCCGGTCCGCGTAGAACGGATCTGGAGAAGGGGGAGGAGGGAAAGAGGGGTTTGCACCGCTCGCTCATACGCTGAAATGCTCGCCCATATGCTGCACCGCTCGCTCATACGCTGCACCGCTCGCTCATACGCTGCACCACCCGCTCATACGCTGCACCACCCGCTCATACGCTGCACCGCCCGCTCATACGCTGCACCTCCCGCTCATACGCTGCACCGCTTGCTCATACGCTGCACCGCCCGCTCATACGCTGCACCGCTCGCTCATACGCTGCACCGCCCGCTCATACGCTGCACCGCCCGCTCATACGCTGCACCGCCCGCTCATACGCTGCACCGCCCGCTCATACGCTGCACCGCCCGCTCATACGCTGCACCGCCCGCTCATACGCTGCACCGCCCGCTCATACGCTGCACCGCCCGCTCATACGCTGCACCGCCCGCTCATACGCTGCACTGCCCGCTCATACGCTGCACGCCCGCTCATACGCTGCACCGCCCGCCTCATACGCTGCACCGCCCGCTCATACGCTGCACCGCCCGCTCATACGCTGCACCGCCCGCTCATACGCTGCACCGCCCGCTCATACGCTGCACCGCCCGCTCATACGCTGCACCGCCCGCTCATACGCTGCACCGCCCGCTCATACGCTGCACCGCCCGCTCATACGCTGCACCGCCCGCTCATACGCTGCACCGCCCGCTCATACGCTGCACCGCCCGCTCATACGCTGCACCGCCCGCTCATACGCTGCACCGCCCGCTCATACGCTGCACCGCCCGCTCATACGCTGCACCGCCCGCTCATACGCTGCACCGCCCGCTCATACGCTGCACCGCCCGCTCATACGCTGCACCGCCCGCTCATACGCTGCACCGCCCGCTCATACGCTGCACCGCCCGCTCATACGCTGCACCGCCCGCTCATACGCTGCACCGCCCGCTCATACGCTGCACCGCCCGCTCATACGCTGCACCGCCCGCTCATACGCTGCACCGCCCGCTCATACGCTGCACCGCCCGCTCATACGCGCTTCATACGCTGCACCGCCCGCTCATACGCTGCACCGCCCGCTCATACGCTGCACCGCCCGCTCATACGCTGCACCGCCCGCTCATACGCTGCACCGCCCGCTCATACGCTGCACCGCCCGCTCATACGCTGCACCGCCCGCTCATACGCTGCACCGCCCGCTCATACGCTGCACCGCCCGCTCATACGCTGCACCGCCCGCTCATACGCTGCACCGCCCGCTCATACGCTGCACTACCCGCTCATACGCTGCACCGCCCGCTCATAGGCTGCACTGCCCGCTCATACACTGCACCGCTCGCTCATACGCTGCGGATGTGCTGCACGATGAGGTCCACTGCCACTCACACTCACCCACTCACTCAGTGCGGTTGCTTGCCACTCACCTGGAAGGTGGATTCGATAACAAACACATTCAAATATGTCTTGGTGCGGATGTGCTGCACGATGAGGTTGCATGGCAGTCCCACTGACCCACTGTGCAGCAGCCGTGATTACCTGAAACGTGGACTCGATGACAAACACGTTGGAGTAGATCTTTCTGAGGTCGTGCTGGCCCAGCTTGGTGCGCATGTGCTGCACGATGAGTTGCTTGCCACTCACCTGGAATGTGGACTCAATAACAAAGACATTCGAGTAGATCTTCCGTAGATCGTGCTGCCCCAGCTTGGTGCGGATGTGCTGCACGATGAGGTCCACTGCCACGTGGTTGTCTCCGCCGCGTGGGATGATGATGTCAGCAAACTTCTTGGTGGGCAGCACAAAGTCGTCAAACGCCGGCTTCACAAACTTGGCGTACTGGCGGGGTGGGAAGATGGTGTTGCCGGGTGACAGAGATAGCATGGCAGATGGCATGGAATGGCACGGCACGGTGCATGCAGGGACAGGGGAGAGGGGAACGGGAGAGGATGAGGGCGTCAGCACTACAACAACCTGCCCCACACCCAAATGAAGAACAAACTCTCACCAAAGGCGGCACCTGTTCAATCACGCTCTGCTCGTTCCTCCCCTAGAAATACTAGCTTCGCTCACCCCCCACCTGCTCCACTCCACAAACCCACCCACAGCTCCACTTCCCCCCACACCCACCAGCTCCACATCCTCCCCCCCCCCCCCCACCTGCTCAATCACGCCCACCCCCCACCAGCCCCACCCACCCTCCTCCAGCCCTCCCCACCCCCCACCTGCTCAATCACGCTCTGCACATCTCTTCCGCGGTGCACAGTGTCTCTGCGGATGCGCCGGGCGAGGCGCACGTCAGCGTCGGTGTCAACGAAGATCTTCATGTTCATGTGTGCGCGCACCGCCGGGTCGTGGAACACCAGGATTCCCTCCAAGATGACCACGTCCGCTGGGTTCACCTGCGCACATAAGAGGTGACATGCGGTGGCATGTGGTGATACGCGGTGACAGGGAGTGACAGGGGGATAGGGCAACAGGGTGTTAAAGAAAATCTTGATGTTCATGCGCACGCACTGCCGGGTCTAGGGACCCCAGTATGCCCTCCAGTATCACCACGTCCGCTGGGTTCACCTGAAGGTAGATGAGATGCGGTGACATGCGGTAACATGCGGTGACAGGGGTACAGGGAGACAGGGTGTCGACGAAGATCTTCATTTTCATGTGTGCGTGCACTGCCGGGTCGTGGAACACCAGGATGCCCTCCAGTATCACCACATCAGCTGGGTTCACCTGCAGTGACATGCGGTGCAGTGTGGCGCGATGCGGTGACAGGGGGACAGGGGTCAGGGAGCCAGGGGGAGAGGACAAGAGGGTATCAACGAAGATCGTCATGTTGATGTGTGCGCGCATGGCCAGGTCGTGGAAGACGAGGATGCCCTCCAGGATGACCACGCTGGCTGGATTCACCTGCGCACATAAGAGGTGACATGCGTTGGATTGCGGGCTTCGGGCTGCATTGGGCTGCGGGTTGCGTTGGGCTTCCGGATTCACCTGAAGGTAGATGAGATGTGGTGCAGTGCGGTGACAGGGGGACAGGGGGGTAGGGCAACAGGAGTCAATAAAGATCGTCATGTTCATGTGTGCGCGCACCGCTGGGTCGTGGAACACCAGTACGCTGTGTTCTCCAGGATGACCACGTCTGCTGGGTTCACCTATGGTTGAGCAGGATGCGGTGACATGCGGTGACATGTGGTGACAGGTGGATGAAAAGTGAATAACAAGGGTGCGACGCGCCCCAAGCCCCACGTCATGCTATCATCAGTACGTGAAACACCAGAACGACTTCGCCTGCTGGATTCAGGCGGTATGACATGCCATGACATATGGTGACAGGACGATTGGGCAAAAGGGAGACGGTGTGACAGAGACTAACTGGATGATCGGCGCGTTGCCATGCACGTGCACCTCACGTGGGCACACAGCACGTGGGGCACAGCTGCTCCTCACATGGGCACACAGCACGTGGGGCACAGCTGCACCTCACATGGGCACACAGCACGTGGGGCACAGCTGCACCTCACATGGGCACACAGCACGTGGGGCACAGCTGCACCTCACATGGGCACACAGCACGTGGGGCACAGCTGCACCTCACATGGGCACACAGCACGTGGGGCACAGCTGCACCTCACATGGGCACACAGCACGTGGGGCACAGCTGCACCTCACCTGGGCACACAGCACGTGGGGCACAGCTGCACCTCACATGGGCACACAGCACGTGGGGCACAGCTGCACCTCACATGGGCACACAGCACGTGGGGCACAGCTGCACCTCACATGGGCACACAGCACGTGGGGCACAGCTGCACCTCACATGGGCACACAGCACGTGGGGCACAGCTGCACCTCACATGGGCACACAGCACGTGGGGCACAGCTGCACCTCACATGGGCACACAGCACGTGGGGCACAGCTGCACCTCACCTGGGCACACAGCACGTGGGGCACAGCTGCACCTCACCTGGCGCTTGGCGGTGCCGCGGCGGTGCGTCTTGAAGCAGTAGGTGGGGATGTCCACGGCCCGCCCCTCCTTGAGCCCCTGAATCGTCTCCAGCATCGCCTCCGAGTCAAACGCGTCTGTTGGCACACAACACACGCCACACCATCACACATGCACATGCTCATGCACATGCACATGCACAAGTACAGGCACAGGCACATGCACATGCACATGCACAGGCACATGCACATGCACAAGCACATGCACACGCACATGCACATGCACATGCACACGCACAGGCTCATGCACACGCACAGGCACATGCACACGCACAGGCACATGCACACGCACACGCACAGGCATACGCACATGCACAGGCACATGCACATGCACAGGCACATGCACACGCATACGCAACGATGCAAGTGTAACGCGAGTTTGAGAGGCTGATGCAAGTCAACCAGAACCTGTGGCCTCAATGCGAGCCAATGCACGTACTCCCAGCTGCAGCATGCTCGGGTGGTCATAAAATTTGCACTCAACAACTGGGTGGAGCCAGTGTGGTGAGGACGCGGTGGAAGGCGTATAATGGGTTGAGTGGCAACGTGCCTGGGTGTGTTATGAGGCGGGTAAGGGCGTGCCTGGGTGGTCGAAGTTGTACTCGGTGACTCTATCGAGCTCCTCGGGCGTGAGGGAGCGGTAGAAGGAGTCCTGGTCGATGAGCACCACGCGGTGGTCCCTCAGCTGCTGTATAATCTGCTCGCACACCGTCGTCTTGCCCGATGCCGTGCCACCTGACACGCCTGTCGGGAAGGAGTGATGGTGAGGGTGGCGAATGACATAGAGAGTGGGTGAAGGATGGTATTATCTGCTCACACACCGTCGTCTTGCCCGACACTGTTCCCCCTGACATCCTGGAGTAAGACAAATGAAGGGTGACAAGTGAGAGGTGACAACACATGTGTGGGGAATAGAGGAGAGGATGACGTATGCAGTGCAACAGCTGCTGTATGATCTGCTCGCACACCGTCGTCTTGCCCGACGCTGTTCCCCCTGACACTCCTGCCGGGAGAGAGTGATGGTGAGGTGAGGAGTGACAGCGAGTGGGATGGAGAGGGGCGGAGAGGAGTGAAGAGGAGTCCTGGTCAATGAGCACCACGCGGTGGTCCCTCAGCTGCTGTATTATCTGCTCGCACACCGTCGTCTTGCCCGACGCTGTTCCCCCCAACACTCCTGGAGAAAGATAAGACGAGTGAAGGGAGGCAACAAATGTGTGGGGGATAGAGAAGAGGATGACGTATGCAGAGCAACGGCTGCTGTACGATCTGCTCACACAGCGTCGCCTTGCCTGGCGCCATGCAACTCGACCAAAGGGCAGAAGGGATGAGGCGAGGAGAGTGTGGAGTAGGGGTAGAGGTATGGATATGGGTAAGGGTAGGGGACGGGCAGGGGTTGGGTTTGGGGGTTGGCAGTGGAGATTTCAGGGTTAGAAGGGGCGGGGACGAGGTTTCGTGCGGTGCAGAAGCCTGCCAGATAGCGAACGAGGCAACACTCGCTTGCTTCCTTCTCGGCCGTCACTCAACAGACGTCCTCTCCCTTGTGCAGCCGACCGACTGACCGATAATGAAGGGCTCGCGGCCGGCGCTGCCTGGGCGGTTCTGGAAGGTGGTGATGTCGGACGCGATGCAGAAGCCGGACAGGTGCGCATCCTTGCTGGACTACGGTCGTGCGACCACGCCACGTCATGCAGCCATGCCACGTCATGGAACCATGGCACGTCATGCACCCATGCCACGTCATGCAGCCATGGCACGTCCGACATGCGATGCCATGGAGAACGAAGGAAGCGGAGGGAGCGGAGGCTGGGTTTGGTGACAGGAAGAATATGCGGGCGAATGATGAAGGACGAATCGAGGTTTGACGAGACGGAAAGGACAGACTGGAAACCGAAAGCACAGGCATGTGCGAGAGGACAACGAAGCATAGAGCCAGGCTCAAGGAAACGTGAAGGCGCATGATGAAACTGCATGCACGGATGTGGTACAGAAGGGGATCTCGAGGTCCCGGGCTCTCTCTCCGGCTAGATGCGTGATACATCTAAACAAAGCATTGCCGTTGGCAGACTTCTATCATGCGGGTATCAGAGATCGCTACACCGAGGATCCTACCGATCCAGGCACGGTGGTGTTATCGATGCGCTACGAGCAAACGGATCTGGATCCTACCGACCTTCACGGACAGATGTGACAGGCCTAGCGTTCTGACACGTGTCAGTTGGAGAACGTGGATCGTGAAACATCAAACGTGGAACAAAGCGTTGAGTTAAGCGACACGAACAGAGCAAACAGTTAAACGGATGGCCCTGCTGTGCGTCGCATGGTGTCACGGCAGAATACCTGCATCGCGTGATCGATATCGTCGAGTCCTCCATTACCCAACCGCCGAGATCCGACGGCTGGCGAAGCGGCCATTTCGAAGCGCCTGAACTGCTGACGGCGTATCAGTTAGTTAGCTTATCGTCTTTGATTCCTAATGTGGAATAACCGCACTTGCTTCCTGAGAATCTGAAGAAAGCAACTTGAAAACGTCACTTGCTTCTTGAAAATCGAAGTTGAAAAGAAGATGCAGAGAATCTCGAGGTGGCTGGAGAAACTGGAGATGGGATGGGGTGGGGATGATGGAAGTGAGTGATGGCATTGCATGATGGTGTATGATGCAGTGCGGTATGGTACGTTACGATACCATAAAGTAAGTTTGGGTACGGTAATGCTTCACTACATACATCACCAGCTTGAGCTGCGTACACAGTGGATGGCAGGCAGCAGATATGATCAGGGGAGCGGTAACTGGGGTAAGCTGATTGGTGCAATGGATGTCAGCGGAACACTACAGATGTACCGTTCGTATGGACGCGGAACACTACGTAAATGTTCGCACTTCCGGCACAAGAGACACAAACAAGGAGAACAGCTAATAGCGGGTTCAAGAGCAAATACTTTCGCCCACTTTTCCCTTCCCTGACCAGCAGATAGATGTGCCACGCGGACGATTTTCAACCGCCACAGAAGTGGAATCTCGAAGCTCCCTATCATCGACAAAAAATAAGCCTGACCGGACCAACCATTCGCCTCCAACTTCAATTTTCCTCGCGACCCAACACAGCCGGTTAGCCTGTAGACCAATGCGGAGCTGCTAAGGGTTGCCGTGACGAAAAACGCAAAGGTCCGAACCTACGGCTGAGATCTGAGGTACCAAGAGAGTTTCAGTCAATCCAGTGATTCTGGACGGTAGATCTGACGAGGGTGGTTGTGAGGAGAGGAGAGGAAAGGCAGTTGGTGACCCCTCCGCCTCATTCCAGCGTCACCGTCGTCTCTCGCCTCATTCTCGCTGAGCCTCGGATTTCACAGCGCTTTCGCCTCTTGCTCTCATATTTTCACGCTCAACTTCTTCGGCTCGTTTTCTTCGAGCTGCTGCGACTGCGGAAAGGCGAGCCGCTAGTATTATCATTCTCTATTCAGGCCTGGCTTGATGTAGATGCTGCGTTAACGGGAAGAGGAAATTGCGTGTCGGGAAGAGGAAATGGCGTGTCGGGAAGAGGAAATGGCGTGTCGGAAAGAGGAGATCGCATGTCAGGAGAGGAAATGGCGTGTCGGAATAGGAAATCGCGTGTCGAGAAGAGGAAATGGCGTGTCGGAATAGGAAATCGCGCGTGAAGCCTGGAAACTTTGACTACGAAAGAACTAAGTGCGAGCGATTCTGTAGAGTGCGTGCGATTTCGGGTCGTGCGTGCGACTGGCAGCTCAGGTATTTCGCGAAACCACACCCATTCAAGAAGTCAATCTCGCGAATTTCCCGTTTCAGTTTCCCGTTTCAATTCTGCAAAATCCCGACTTTTAGCTTCGCGATCTAATTTCGCAGATCGATTCTGTATCACAGTGCGTCGTCTCGTGCTTCCCTGACGTACGTTTCGCCGCGTCTGTCCACCCACTGCAGGCCGCCGTGCGCCAGCCGTTCCCCCGTGTAAGAAACCGCCCTGGGTTAACTGAAGCCACAGACTCAGCTTAGCGAGTTAAAACCAGAGCCTAGGATCAATCCGACGGGCTCGGAGCAAGGATTCCGTAGCAACTTAGATCACTGAAATCGCCCAAGAGTTGAGAGAGAAAATGTTGTTTATATGAAGATAGGTACACAAGTCGTACAAGGAATGAACTCTCTGTTTTGCTCTCTGGATTTATAACTAAAACACTCATGCAGAATTGTAACATCGAACCGCGCGCGACTCGCCAGAAATTCGGACTCAGGATCGCGTCTAATTTCCGCGACGTCCGCGTTCATAATTTCGGACTTTGCCGGGTTCGTTTTTTCACGCCGACAATCGTGTGTTACAAGGATCAATAGCGAGTGTAGCGAAATGTTCGTAACATTCGCTTGCACCCTCGCTATTTTCGTGCATGCTTGTGGGGCTGCCAAGTGTCGCCCCCACAAATGTTCGGACTCAATCCGGGGAAAGTTCGGTTGCGTGGCGACGCGGACAATCCGCCGTCACCCCAACCTTCCAAGAACGAACCCTCCCTTGGTCCGAGTCAAGGGAGGTCTTCGCGTGGGGGGCAATCCCGTCCCCCACACTTCCAACACTCCCCCTTGCACCCCACGCACACCTAAGCATGCAAGCCTACCCTAGCACAACATGCATGAAGAGCATCTCTAGGCAATGGCTTGGTGAGAAAGTCCGCGGGTTGGGAGTTGGTCTTGATGTAACGAAGCTCGACTTCGTTGTCTTCAACGAGCTTGCGAATGAAGTGGTGGCGGATTTGAATATGCTTGGTCCTTCCATGAAGGACCGAATTCTTGGCTAGGCCAATGGCGGCTTGGTTGTCCACGTAGATGGGAGTGGGGCCTTCTTGTTTGTGCCCAAGCTCGGCAAGAAGGCGACGTAACCAAACCGCTTCCGTACCACCACGAGTGAGCGCCACATACTCCGCTTCGGTGGAGCTAAGTGCAATCAAGTTTTGGTGCTTGCTTTGCCAACTTATTGCACCTCCCACGAGGGTGAAGATGTAGCCCGAAGTGCTTTGGCGGTTTGAAGGATCTCCCGCCCAATCCGCATCCGTGTAGCCTTGTAGCACCACGGGTCCCTTCTCGTAGTGCAACCCCATACGAGTGGTCCCCTTGATGTAGCGAAGGAGACGTCGTGACGCTCGCACATGCTCGACCATGGGGTTGGAGACGACACGTCCAAGCACTCCAACGGGAAAGGAGAGGTCGGGTCGCGTGCTCACCGCGGCATACATGCATGACCCAACAACCGAGTGGAAGGTCTTGGCGCTCTCGGGATCCATCGGGTTTTCATCGCTCACCGCCAAGGGATGAAACGCCGCTTCCATAGGTGTCGGTGTAGGCTTGCTCTCGATCATGCCGAAGCGATCCACCACACTCTCCAAGTACTTATGTTGGTGGAGAGCGAGGGTCTTGTTCCCTCGATCGCGATCAATGTGCATCCCTAGGTAGTGGAAGACGGCGCCGAGGTCACGCATGGAGAATTCGGCGGCAAGCTTCGTCTTCACGTCCGCTACAAGGGTCTTGAAATCCGACACGAGGAGAAGGTCGTCAACGTAGAGGAGAAGAACGAGCTTCTTTTCGTCCTTGTTGAGCACGTATAGCGCGTGGTCACACTCGCTCCGCACGAACCCCAAGGAGAGCAAGTGATCGTCGATCCTCGTGTACCACGCACGAGGGCTTTGCTTGAGGCCGTAGATCGTGCGCTTGAGCTTGCACACGCGGTCGGAGTCGTCGTCGAACCCGGGAGGTTGCTTCATGTACACCTCCTCCTTGAGACGACCGTAGAGAAATGCCGTCTTCACGTCGAGTTGTTCCACCTCCAAGTCGAGTGCTCCCGCCAACGCCAAGAGAGTGCGCAACGTAGCGGATTTAGCGACGGGAGCGAACGTCTCGTTGTAGTGAAGACCCTCCTTTTGAGTATAACCTTGCGCCACCAACCGCGCCTTGTACCGCTCCACTTCTCCGTTGGGGCCGAGCTTCTTCTTGAAGACCCAACGAGAGCCAACGAGGTAGGCGCCGGGGGGCATGGGGACGAGCTCGTAGACGTCGTTCGCCATGAGCGAATCGTACTCCGCTTGAAGCGCACGTTCCCATTCCGCCGCTTCCGCCGAGCTCATGGCGCCTTGGTAGGTGGACGGTGTGTCGGTGTATGCCTCAAGACACATAGCATCTCCCCCTCCCTTGTCATCCCCCGCCACAAGAGAGTAGTCATCCAACTTGGAGTTGGGACGAGGAGTCCTCCGAGTGCGATTGGATGCGAGGGTGGGAGTGATTTTAGGAGGAGGAGATGAAGGGTCACTTTCCTTGGCATGTTCTTCATCCGCACTCACTCCAACCGCACCCGATCCATTCTCCCCCTCACTCGTACGAGGAGGAGAAGCCGTAGGAGCAACATCCGCCTCATCCGCGGCATCCAAGGGGGGAGGGACAATGATGACCGAGGGCACGTGCATCAACTTGGACGGGAAGGTGTCTTCGTAGAACACCACGTCGCGCGACACCACGAGCTTCCCGTGCTCCAAGTCCCACACACGCCACGCCTTGTGATCCGCGCTTGGACCCAAGTACATCGCCACCCGCGCCTTCGCCTCAAGCTTGGTCCGTGTGGCATCCGGGACATGGTAGTAGCACGTACACCCAAACGTGCGAAGGTCGGTGACGTCCGGCTTCGTACCGCTCCAAGCCTCAAGAGGCGTCGTGTTCGGCAACGCCTTGGTCACGCACCGGTTGCGAATCCATGTTGCCAACGTAACCGCCTCACCCCACCAATGCTTCTCCGCGTGAGCATGGGAGAGGAGACTCCGTGCCGACTCCATGAGCGTGCGGTTCAAGCGTTCGGCCGCACCGTTTTGTTGAGGCGTGTACGGCGTCGAAAACTCATGCGCGGTCCCACGCCCTTCCAACCAATCGCCGAGCTCCCGAGCGGTGTATTCGCCACCGCCATCCGAGCGAAGGCGCTTCACCTTGAAGCCGCTTTCCGTCTCCACATCCGCTACCCATTTCGTGATAGCGGTTGACGTGGCGTCCTTGCTCTTGAGAAGCCGAATCCAACACATCCGCGTCGCGTCATCAAGGAGCGTGAGGACGTAGCGCGCGCCGCCCTTCGACGCGGGAGTAATGGGTCCACACAAGTCGGTGTGAACGAGCTTGAGAGGTTCGGTGGCGTTGGGCTTCGTGCTTGGTGGAAATGGCTTCCGAGCCATTTTCCCTTCAAGGCAACCGACACACTTCTCGTCGTCTCCACTCGAGCGCACAAACTCCAAACCATCGACAATCCCCTTCGTTGCCATAGCTTGAATAGCGGCGTGGTTGAGGTGGCCATACCGATTATGCCACGTCGAGAGAGTTGTTGTCGAGGTAGCCGCTTGAGCCCTCGCCACGCTCGGAAGAGCGTCGAGCATGAAGAGTCCTCCCGCTTGGCGTGCCGTGCCGATGTGTACGCCGTCCGCCGTGCTCAACGCCATCGTGGTCCCTTCAATATTCACACGCATCCCCTTGCGTGTAAATTGAGAAACGGATAGGAGGTTGGCGCCGAGCCCGGGAACCACCAAGACGTTCTTGATGGTGAGTGGACCGCCGTCCACCATGAGCCGCAAGTCGCCTTGTCCCGTGACATCCAAGGTGTCACGGTTGCCGAACATCACGCGCCTAACGGGAGCCACCGTTGTCACGTTGTTGAGAAGCGTCGCGCTCGCCGTCATGTGTTGAGTAGCACCCGTATCGAGTACCCACGCGTCAACACCACCGACGGTCGTTCCACTTGCGACGAAGACGAAGTCCCGGTCGTTGTTGTCGCATGTCGCCACATGCGCGCGCCGGTTGTCGTCACTTGAAGACGGCCTCCAATTTGCCGGTTTAACGGGACAATCGCGCCACCAATGTCCCGTCTTCTTGCAAAACCGACAAGCTCCATCTCGCGCCCGAGCTCGATTGGCGTTGGCCGATCCTCCTCGTGATGAGCTTGAGGTCGCCGCGCTCCCGTTCGAACTCCTGCGGTTGTTGCCGTCGTTGCGCCGCTTGAAGTGACCCGACCCTTTCGCCTTCGCATCGCGGGAGAAGTGTGCCGCGCCGATTGCATCGCCATGCAACTTCGCGCGCCTCGCCTCTTCGTTGATGAGGCGTGCCACCACTTGCTCCTTCTTCCATGTATCTTGCGTCCCATCCAACATCGTGATCACCGTTGACCATGCTTCACCGAGGCCCGCGAGGAGCGTCATGATCCAATCGTTGTCCTCCACGCTCGCGTCGAGTTCCACCAAACGCTCGCCAAGCTCCTCCACGCGGTTAACGTACGCGCGTATTGACTCGCCGTCCTTCATCCGCACCGTGAAGAAGTCGAGGCGCGCTTGAAGCTTGCTATGAAGTGACTTGGAGACGTGCTCTCCTTCGAGTCGCTTCCACGCTTCACGAGTCGCGCCGTCACGGTCGATGCAAGGGCTCACGATCGGGACGAGTTGGAGGCTTAGCTTGGAGACAAGAAAGGCAAACGCCTTTTTGTCCTTGCGCACCCACGCTTCCTTCTCCGCGGTTGAAGCGTCCGTCGTGGGCTTCGATGCCGACCCATCGAAGAATCCCCACAAGTCGCGCTCCATCATGTAGACTTTCAACTTGAAGCGCCACGAGGAGAAATGTTCCCCGGTAAAAATTGGTACCGCGCTCAAGTCGACAACGTGCGGCGTTGTCGAGAAGTCTGTTGGGAGGGAAGGGGCCGTTGGCGTATTCGTCGTCGACGAATTATTGGAGGAACCCATGGCGTAGCAACGCTTGAAACCTTGACGGACTGAATCCTCGACTGCCTGAAACCTTGACGGACTGAATCCTCGACTGCCTGAAACCTTGACGGACTGAATCCTCGACTGCCTGAAACCTTGACTGCCTGAAACCTTGACTGCCTGAAACCTTGACTACCTGATACCTTGACTGCCTGACACCTTGACCGCCTGAAACCTTGACTGCCTAACACCTTGACTGCCTGACACCTTGACTGCTTGAATCCTTGACTGCCTGAAACCTTGACAGACTGAATCCTTGAATGCCTGAAACCTTGACTGCCTGAAACCTTGACAGCCTGAATCCTTGACTGCCTGAAACCTTGACGGACTGAAACCTTGACTGCCTGACACCTTGACTGCCTGAAACCTTGATTGCCTGAAACCTTTCCAGCCTGAATCCTTGACTGCCTGACACCTTAACTGCCTGAAACCTTGACTGCCTGAAACCTTGACGGACTGAATCCTCGACTGCCTGACACCTTGACTTCCTGACACCTTGACTGCCTGAAACCTTGACGGACTGAATCCTTGACTGCCTGAAACCTTGACTGCCTGAATCCTTGACTGCCTGACACCTTGACTGCTTGATACCTTGACTGACTTAATCATTGACTGCTTGAAACCTTGACTGTCTGAAACTTTGACTGCCTGAATCCTTGACTGCCTGACACCTTGATTGCCTGACACCTTGACTGCCTGAACCCTTGACTGGCTGAACCCTTGACTGCCTGAAACCTTGACTGTGTTGGGTGCAAATTCACATTGCACGACATCCTGCCGTCTGTTTGTACGAGTATGCGTGTGCGAATGCATTTGCGTGTGAATGGTATGTTCGTGTGTTTGTTTGCTTTCGCAATTTTCGCTTGAAGCATTTGCAGGTACTCGCACAATGTGCGCTTCGGCATAACATTGTACGCGCTATGAATAGTACAAGCAGAAAGGACGAGCTTGCAAAAGAACCCAAGATGGAAGCTTTGCGGTTCGGCTTACTTGATTGCGCTGATTCAGTTCTATCCAACTCGAAATTGTACTGTTTTGTTTGGTTGACTATAGTGTAGCAGGGCAGACAGTATAAGAGTACAATTTAGGTGAAGGTTGGATGTTGTTTATCTGTATCTGTATGCTACAGGGCCAGGGGAAATTAGCGGAACCAGCATTTTGCTAGTTGGGCAAATAAAAAACAGGTTTTTAGGACCTGAACTTGATTGTTGTTTTCTCAGGTTGGAAAAACAGAACCAGAGATTGTTCACCAACCTACCACCTGCTATTTTGTTCAGCCAGGTTGATTTTGTTGCTTGGAATTATTTGGGATCATCCCTGGTTGTTCCAAGGTTGATTCCCAAGGTCCTTGCTAGCTAGAGCTATTTATTCCTTCTCTGCTTGTACCTGAATATAGTGAAACTGATTTAAGCGAATTCTACCCTTCCTGGAATTTCGTTTCTATGCGGTGCGACGGTGGAATGCTACCCGAGTCAACGCTAGTACGCTACCACTCCAACGCTAGGCTAACGGTGTCCGAGCCATAACTTCGTAATGGCAAAACTTTTCGCGAGGCAACTTGGCTTATTTTAAAGCTCTTAGAGTGAGCTTCGATATAGTAAATTCTCAGCTTAATCCGATCTACGGTCTGCACGATACGCTGCGCGCCGTTCAAGGTACTCTTGCTGTTTTGACTAACTCCCTCTTGATCCCTCTCTCTACAAACTCGGACCCGAGGATAGGGGCTGGTCTTGTACCAGGCACCCAAGGACCCTTGGAGGTGACCCCGAGGAGAGGTTTTTAAGTGTGATAAAGTCTTAATAGCTTGAGTTTATTAAGTCTTTACACCAACAAGCTGGTATCAGAGCTGCGTTATAGTGATCCTCGTTATAGGTGGCTATGGCGGGCAACACCTCGGCGGTAGCTGGTGAATCTTCAGCTCAAGATCGTAGCGGCAGCCATGATTTTGGTGTTTCTGCGCCAAGGGGAGCGCGAACAAGCCAGGGCTCGCTGATCAAGGAGGTGCTGAAAAACTTCATCGTCGAGAAGTTCAATGGTGAGGGCTATGATGATAGGGCCTGGAAAATGCAACTTTATTTCCGTCAGATCGGATTGCTGAAACTAATGATTGGGGAGGAGCCTAGACCGAGTGACCCCGCCCTTCAGGAAGATTGGGACGAGCGCGCCTCGGCTGGCTACTATTTGATGTCGCAGAGTTTGGAGTTGAACCAGCGTCACCACGTCATGCACTTGCTGCCGGAGGTTGAGTGCGGTCCGAAGGCGTGGACCGTATTGAAGGAGCTGCACGCCCCGACCTCCGTTGTTGCAACATTGATGCTGGAGAAGGAGCTGTCCGCGTTGCGCCTGAGCGAGGGAGAGCCGGTGCAACCTGTCCTGGACAAATTGCGCGACCTCTACGCGAAGTTGGCGACCGCGGGAATCACCTACCCGGAGCAGACCAAGTGCCTGAAGATGCTCTCGCTGCTGCCGGAATCGTGGCTTCAATTCACGAGCGGATTGAGCCTGCCGCAGAACAAGAGCTTGTGGACGCTCGAGTGGGTGCGGACGAAGATTTTGGAGGAGGACTTCCGTCGCCGCTATCTGAGGGGTGGAAACGACGGCAGCAGCGGCTACGGGATGCAAGGGAGCCGACGTGGCAAAGGAAGTGGCTTCGGTGGTGCTGGACGCGGTGCAAAGAAGGACGACAACTCCAACGACCAACAAGGAGGTACCGGTTGGGGTCGCGGTGCGAAATCTGGACGTGGGGGCAAGCTGGGTGCTGGTGGCAAAATGAAAGGGAGTTGCTGGTATTGTGAGAAGGAAGGGCACCCCTGGTTTTTTTGCTATAAGAAACCCGATGGATGGACCCCCCAGAATCGTCACCAGGATGGCGGCGCGCGGAGGAACCAGAAAAACGGCGCCAACATGGTCGCTGATTCGTCCGACAACAACTCGAAGGGCAACGGCGGTGCGGAGAAGAAGAAGGAGCGCACCGCGGGCCAATTCTTCCATGTGGAAGACAAGGCGGAGCAAGGAGACGCATCTGCTAAGGTTGGAGCAGAGCTGCACCCCTTGGATTATTGGGTGTTAGACACAGGCGCTGCTTGGACAATGACGCCGCGCAAGGACCTGCTGGACGACGTACGCGCTGCACCGATTAATGAGGTGTGCTCTGCCTCTGGACACATATTGAAGGTGGCTGGTGCGGGACGAGCTGCGTTTAAGGGAGCGGATGGCAAGCCGGTGGTGCTGCACGACGTTCTCCTTGTCCCCGACCTGAAGGCCAACCTTATCTCCCTCCGTAAGCTTGGCAAGGCTGGGGTGAACACCAACACGGATGGGGCTCGCACTTATAAGGGGAAGCTGGACAATCGGGTGCTTTGGGATCTGCACGAGAGCAAGGACGTGTACAGATCTATGTGGCAGCTGCCGGCGCTGGCGTGGCACGGTGGGGGGCAGGCTGGAGAGGGGTCTGCATCCCAGGGGGAGTGCAACGCCGTTGGAGGGGTTGGTGTGAAAGTGTCGGCCAGATCTGGAAAGACGGATTGGGCAACTGCACACCGACGCTTGAGGCATGTGGCAATGCCTTTGCTGAAGCAGCTGGAGAAGGATGGAGCCGTTAAGGGCTTGAAGCTGAACGGACAACCACCCGATGATAACTGTGAAATTTGCCTCCTTTCAAAGTTCACCCGTTTCCTCTTCCATAGTGTGGCTGGCAGGAGCAAAAAGCCGTTGGAGCTAGTCCACATGGACTTAGTGGGGCCGCTGCCGGTGCAAGGGCACAAGGGGGAGCGGTACTTCCTAACCATAGTGGATGACTGGAGCAGGCTAATGTGGGCGTATCCGCTGAAGCAGAAAGATCACGCCGCCTCCACGATTCGGGACGATTGGCTGCCGTTCGTGGAGAAGCAAGCGGAGTGTGTGGTGAAGCGGATAAGGACAGATCGGGGTGGTGAGTTTCTTGGAGCTGAGATGACGGCCTGGCTCAAGAAGCAGGGCATCCAGAGGGAGCTGACCACGGCTTACACCCCACAGTCCAACGGTGTAGCAGAACGGGCGAACCGGACAATTCTGGAGACAGCTAGGGCGTTGCTCATAGAATCTGGGCTGGGCAACTTGATGTGGCCCCATGCTGTTCGGCACGCTACCGTCGCTAGGAACAGGGTACTCACAAAGGTTGGGGATGACTCGTGGGTGCCGTTGGAGAGGTAGGTTGGGAGGAAACCGCCGGTGGACATGCTGAGGGTGTTCGGTTGCATGGCAGTCGCCCACGTCCTCAAGACCTACCGCAGTAAGTTGGGGGCGAGTGCAATCTGGTGTGTGCATTTGGGGCTGGCTGCTGAGAGCAAGGGATGGCTGCTGTAGGAGCCTTCCAAGGGTGTGTTGTTTGACAGCAGGGATGTGAAGTTTGTTGAGGGCATGATGTATGGGAGCTAGGAGAAACAGCCGGAGGCCAGGGTGTCCCAGCAGATGGAGCAGATCACCATGCAGCTGGACCAGACTCCTAATGTGTGGGAGGAGGGAGAGGAGGCAGCTGTAGAGGGTGGTGATAAAGAGAAGGTACAGGAGGCACCTGCTGGTGGAGGTGATGGTGTAGAGACTAGCGGTAGCACTAGTGGAGCTGCTGGATCCGAGGGAGGAGAGCAGCAGCAGGGAAAAACTAAGAAGCCGAAGGGTGTCGTTATGAAGGGATGGGAGACACCCGTCTCCAGGCCAGGACGTACCCGTATGGCTACTAAGAAGCTGACTGCAGGAGCTGATGTAGCGGAGCAGCAGCTTGAGACTGAGGAGGCATTGCTGATTCTACCGCATGGCTATGACCCAGATGAGGAGGATGAGCCTGC